CAAACCCATCACCCCACCAGCCATCTCCACAGGTGCGGGCCCCCCTCTGGCCCCCAAGCCTTCTGGCAGAGCCAGGATTTAATCCCTTTCCTGAAGGCCACAAGGGAGGGGGCACACCGGATCTCGGGAGGCAGGATGTTCCATAGGGCAGGAGCTGCAGCAGAACAGGCTCTCTGCCTAGACCCCACCAATCGAAATTCCTTGACTGGTGGGGTCTGCAACCTGCCCCTTCTGCTGGACTGAGTGGGGCGGGCTGAAATGACTGGAAATATGAATAAAACTCTAGTGGCCTTTAGGGGCACTGCCTCGGACATAGCCGGATGCGAGGCTGTCTGTGAAGCTGGGTCACAGGGATCAGTTGGGCTTGCTGCTTGCTTGCCTACCTTCCTCCCTGCAGGGTGGCGTGGTCTTGTCTGAGCTCCTGTTCTCTGTGGCGGAGTTGGCAGTGGAATTCCCCAGACTTATGGCTCTCTGGGCCCAGACTCGGAGGCGGCCCAGGAGTTTATGGCCACCATGGCAGCCATGGACCTGGTCCAGCTTATTGGTGGCCCAACTCATAGAGGGGATCATACATTGGATCTGGTCTTTGTCTTGAGGCAGTGGCAAGGTGATCTGGGTTTAGGGGACATTAACATCTGTCCCTTGCCATGGACAGATTCCTCTTGGCCCTGGAATTCTGTGCACCTGCCCCCCACCGCAGAGAGGTTGGGCCTATTCGATTGGTCCAACCCAGGTGACTGATGGACCTAGTAGAGTTTCAGAGGGAGCTTGGGGTTGTTCCTGAGGCTCTGGTGCATGATTTGGCTGAGGCCTTAGTTGTGGCCTGGGATGAGCACGCGATGAGAGCCTTGGATTGGATTGTGATCGCAGATCCTGTAGGGCCCCTTGGTTTATGGCTGGGCTCAGGGAAATGAAACAACACAAGAGATGCCTAGAATGTTGCTGGAGGAAGATGAGGGATGCAGCCAACCAAGTACAGGTATAAGCATTATTAGGACTTACCTTGTGGCAGTAAGAGCGGCAAAGTGTGTTTGCTTCTCTACTCTTATTGCATCCGCAGATGGCCAGCCAGTGGCCCTGTTTCAGGTAACCATGGTCTCCTGGGTAAGCAAGGGCTGGGTGAGCTCTTGCAGGGTCGCTGTGAGGACTATTCTAGGCAACTGTTGGATAAAGTTGCTCAACTTTGTTCAGAGTTGGGCTCTGGCTGGGCAGATCCAGTGGAAGTGACTGAGGCGTGTCTTAGCTTGGTTATCTGGGAAGAGTTTTTGCTGGTCAGTCCTGAGGAAGGGGACAGGGTCCTTACCGCTGTGAGCTCTGCTACCTGTAGTTTGGACCCATGTCTCTTCTGCCTGGTTAAGGCCTCCTGGGACGTGGCATGTGGTTGAGTCCAAGTGGTGGTAAATGCCTCCTTGCAAGAGGGGGTGGTCCCCACCTCAAGAGGCCATCCTTGGACCCCTACGGTTTTGGATAACTTCCATCCAGTCTCCAACCTTCCCTTTTTAGGGAAGGTTGTTGGGAAGGTGGTGAGATCCCAGCTGCAGAGGGGCATGGATGAAGCGGATTATCTGGACCCTTTTCAGTCAGGATTCAGGCCGGGCTGTAGTACCAAGACAGCATTAGTTGCACTTGTGGATGACCTTTGGAGGACTTGGCATGGGTATGGTGTATCCATCTTGGCCCTTCTGGATCTCTCAGCGGCTTTTAATACCATTGACCATGATATCTTGCTGGACAGTCTCCAGAGACTGGGGGACACTGTTTTGCAGTGGTTCTCCTTTCTCCTTGGCTAGTACCAGTCAGTGCTGGTGGGGAGGAGAAGTCTAGCCCTAGGCCCCTATTATGCAAGGTGCCTCAGGGCTCAAGTCTCTCCTATTTAACATCTATATGAAGCTGCTGGGAGAGTTCATCTGTCAGCATGGGGTTGGATATCAGTATGCCGGGCAAGTGATGTTGTTCAGGTGCTAGCTCAGTGCCTGGAGAGTGTAAGGGTCTGGGTGGGAAGAAACTTGCTGCAACTCAACCCTAGCAAGACCAAGTTGTTTTGGGGGCCCTCAGGGTTAGGAGAGTTGACATCTCCAACTCTGGATGGAGTAACACTCCCCTGTACAGATCTGGTGTGCAATTTGGGGGTCCTCTTGGACTCACAGCTCCTGCTGAAAGCAGGTAGCCCCCATAGCCAGGGGGGCCTTTGCCCAATTCCATCTTGTGCACCAGTTACGCCCATTCCTGGACCCGGAGGCTTTGCTTACAATCATCCATGCCTTAGTCACCTTCTGTTTGGATTACTGCAATGCACTCTATGTGGGGCTGTCCTTGACGACCACCTGAAAGCTGCAACTGGTCCAGAATGCAGTGGCACATGCAGTTTTGGGTGACCTGTGGGTGACCTTTAAAGCCCTACATGGCACAGGGCCAGGTTACTTGTGGGACTACCTCTTCCTGAGGGTGTTTACCCATCCTACTAGGTTAGATAGGGTGGGTGCGCTCCAGGTCCCCTTCTTTAAATGTTGCCATCTGATGGAAACTTAGAGGTGTGCCTTCCCGGTGGCTGCCCCAGTCCTTTGGAACAGTATCCCTGCCCTCTTAGCCTTCCCAAGGGGCTGTGAGGACCTGGCTCTTCCCCCAAGAATTGGGCTAGGATGGGGGGTTGAGCTGTAAAGATGTTTGGTCTGGCACCTAGAGGGGAAGGGTAAGTTTTTAACTATGTTTTATGGATTGATGTGAGCCATCAAGAAACACTGTATGAGACAGGCAGCAATATAAGTCCTGTAAATAAACAAACAAACACAGCATTTAAAACATCTCTCTTACAACTTTGGTGCATCTTTCATTGACATAGGGTTACATCATATGTCTTGATAAACCAGAATGCTTAGCAATTTTAATTCACCCAAATGTATCTCCTATCAGGAAATTTCTGTCTGTGGATTGGTTTAGTGTTATGTCCAGACCAGAATCTCTGACTTGTTCTTCTAACACATACATGTGTTCTTGATTCTTAAAGAGCAGGCTGTTGTCAATTATGCACTTTCTCTCCCTCTCCCTCTCCACACACACACACACACACACAACTCCAAGGCTGACTAGTGCATTCTCTTGGGAGTTGTGTTTGGCCCCCATTTGTTCCCCTTTAGGAGAGCAAATGTGACTTATTTCCTTTGCCAGGCTTTTAATTATTAATTCATATTTATATAGCTTTTAACTTATTTGATTTTTTTATTCTGCATTTTACTGCTTGTTAGCCATCTTCAGTGCTCAAACTGAATAGAAAGCTGGGACATAATGAATATATGAATTAGATAGCTACACATGAAATAGTATCTAGCTTATGGCACTGAAGTAAATTACAGTATATATTGTTTGAATGGGGATGTGATCTGAATAGCCTGAATGCTTCCTTTTGGTTTTGAATATTCAAAACACCAAATGACCCTGATTGAGAAACCTTTTCCCCCCGAATTTTTTTAGGTCTTTGTTTTTTTGGATCTTATGTTTAACTTCAGAACTGTGTTTAACTAATTTTTGTTTTATTTATAGGCTGGATTTGAAAATAATTTCGAAGAAATTGACTGATAAAGACACCGCTACAAGATATCTCTTTGGTTCTATTAACAGGTCATAGTGGGCTACAAAATGATTACTTCAGAGTTACCAGTGTTACAGTGAGTAGTTAATTTTATAAATAAGTCACAGCAATCCATATGGTAAATTATTTGGGGATCAAGGCTACCCTTGTGGAAAAGATAAAGGATTTGCAACAGCTTGTTTGTATATTTGGCTGCAGTTTTGTAAGCACATGTATGATTGAAATTAATTTTGGAAAATGTAATGTACAAATGGCATTTAAATCTCTTCTTTTTTAAATGCCCTTTTCTTGTTCCAGTAATGGAACCTTTTTTTTTTTCATTTTACTATTTTAATATGAACATTACCTGCATGCTGATTTTTGAAATGGTAATTGTATCCCCTTATATGGATATAGGCAGAAAAGTACACTATGACAAAATATAGCCTGAACTACTGTTTTAGCAGATCTCTAAGTACAAAATTAAAACTACCTTGCAGAACAATGTTCTGATTAAGAATTGGTAGTATTTTACTGATTTAAAATCATTATCTTCTGAGGTCATACAGTAAAAGGAAGAAGATTATGAAGTCATAGATCAGGTTGTAATGTGCCATCATTGGGGAGAAAAAGTTAATGAATATTTAATGTATTACCAAAAATCATGTTGATCTGAATTTTTATAAATACGTTGTAAGTAGTTTTTTTCTAGTTTGAAATTGGCTTTTTTTACTTCTTTATTGCATAAGCTTTGACAGATTATTTAAACAGAAATTGCACAATATTGAAGGTAATAAAGTTACAAAAGCAATGTAGAATATAAACAACTGCTAACAAAATAGAAGTAAAAACATTATGAAAAAAAACTTTTGATAATGGATTGTTCCCTTCCCTTCCATTTATCTCTCCAACTGCTGACCACATAACATTGGAAGTTATTGTTTGTATCTGTTTAAGTAATTTCATCTATTGTTTTTTATTGGTTTTTTAACTGTTTTCCTAAAAACTGTATTTCAAATGTTTTTGCTTTGTTGCGTTATGGAAGTCATTCCTGCTTGAAGTTAGTTAGGCTTTTATTACGAATATGTATTGCCAGTTTTGTCATTGCTTCATATTCTCTAATTTTGGTCTCCCAATCTTGTATCATTGGCAAAGTTTCATTTTTCCAGTGTTGTGCCTGATTTGTTCTTGCAGCTGTCAACTTGTATCTCAGTAAATTGTGACTCTCTTCATTTATGTTTTCTAGAATTATTCCTAATAAAAACATTTGTGGTTGTTTTGTAAGTAGTGTTAGGATGCTTAATTGGATGGAACTGGTTGTCAATTGGTTGAAGCAAAACTAGTTGTAGTAGACATTCAGTAGCTATACACTTGGAAGTGAACCAAATGTGTTTTTGAGTTGCTCCCTTTTTGTTATGCTATATTACAAATATGCAATATTGATATTCTTTATTATTGTTTATATTAGAGCTTTTAGTATAAAGTATAAAATAATTCAAAATAAATTAAAAGTATCATCATACAAACACATAACTGTGACTTATTCAAGTTTATTGTAAAAGTTCTATACATTGGAAATGGAGTATTATAGAGAGACTCTGAAACTTGAAATGTCAAAGCTGTTGGCAGGATTATGGATCACACTAGATACTTGATTTTCTAAAGGTTTATTAAAATGTAGTTATTAGTAAAATATTGCTATTACTCATGGCTTTTCTGAGAAGGGTTTTAAACAAAAGTAGAAATGAGTGTACTTAAATTGTGATAAAGCAAATCTTATTAAGGGTTAATTAGTTTTCAAATTAGTATGTGTAGCATGCTATGCTAAGTAATAGAGTCTGATGTTTAATACTACATGTACATTGAACATTAATCTGAATGGTGTAATCTACTGGGAAGAATTTGGGTAAGTGGTAAAAAATAGTAACTTCTTTAACTTGCCTACCATTTCAGCAAAGACATAGTATTACTGAGATGGTAAAATGCATTTTTTGATGGAAATTCCTAAAAGAAGTGTTGTTGTTGTCTCTTCAAATATGTTATAGCTGCCCAACTCCAGTGGACTCTGGGTGGTGTGAAAAAACCTCCAAAATTATAGCAATTAAAACATAAAACAATACAGACAGCCTGGACTAAAACAATCATAAAAAACAAATCACAACAGGGGCCCTGGAAGGTACCTATAAACATTCAGAAAAAGATTCTGCTTCCAGTTATACAAGCTACCAAAACTGAATTCCATTATTTGTTTCTGCTTTACTGTGATTGAAGAATGCATTGCATGAAATAATTTTTTTACAACAAAACTACAGTTAAAAACAGTGAATAATGAATTGCAGCTTATTTTAACTATGCCTTAATATATCTGAAATCGGAATCTTGGTTTATTCCTTTCTTGTGTGCTTTCACGTTTCTACTGGGCAATTGCAGAAAAAAATGGAGAATACAAAGAGGCATTATTAAAACAAATCACAATTATTTTTCTCTTATAGAATATTGACTAGTCTTTGTTCCTGTCTTGTATAACAAAAAATTATTGAAAGAAATCCTGGTTTGGCATTACAACTTTAGAACTGTTACATTACCCAGGTCTGCAAGTAACTTGCTTTCACTTTCAGCAGCATGAACTACTGTAGTATACTCAGTACATGCTCTCTACTTGGATACTGCAGGGATCCCTGGAAATAGGAATCTTAAATGCTCAAAGATAAGAGAGAGGATCTGCAGTCACTTACATTTTTGACAGATAAATGCATAGGTAAGAATAGATGTCACTAGCACATCACCCAGTCAGTGCCATGTTAGGAGAAAATATGCATGTAAAATTGATGGCATCCTGCAGTAAAGGAGTCTGTTGTGTTGAAAGGAAGAAATATTTTGCAATTGAGAAATAAATAAAGGCTTGGACAAGCAACAGTACAAATCAAAACTATCCTCCCCAAATGGAATAATAGAAAAATTAGAAAAAAGTGGAAAATAGGAGGTGGGGGTTGAATCCTAAGTGTTTTATGTTGATAAAATTGACATCAGCAGCAAAAGAGTAAAAAAAATCAAAGGGAAGCAGTATTAGAATTTGTACCTCATAATCCATACAGCAGTTGTCTAATCATACAGTCACAGTCATTGCACGTGTATAATCCCCAGTGGGTTCAGACCACGGAACCAGCCATCTGTTCCAGGACTGGAAGATCTGCAGGGCAAATTTACTTACTTATAAAGCACCTCTATATCAGTTGATAAATAAGCAAATATTTACTAGTTAAAAGTATCTTTCTACATAAGGCTGTGCATAAATAAGAAGGAACAGATTAAGGCCTACAGGGACAACTTAAAAGAAATACAGCCAGACCTAATTAGACCAAATAGTATCTAAATCTGCTTACATCATATAGATTGTCATGTGGCATTTGCAGTCCTCAAATGACTATTTTTTGGTTAATCACTTTGATCCCTTTCGGCTACATTTCCCAAAATTTCTCTAGGAGTTTTACAATATAAATGACAAATATGACACTGGACACCACACCTTCCTATTTCCCACTATATATTTCAAGTAAATCCTGTTCTTAAGAAGGGAATTGGATGAATTGAACCATATAATGGTGACAAGAAAAAAAGTGGTAGGCCTTATAGATAAATTGGACATAAATCACCAGGCCCTGGTGGGTTTTTTGCTTGTTTTGTTTTGGTGCTTTCGAGTCAGTTTTGATTCCTGGTGACTGCCTTGGCAGGTCCACATAGTTTTCTTGGCAGCATTTTCAGAAGTGATTTGCCATTGCCTTTTCCCCGGGGGTGAGAGAGTGACTGACCCAGAATCACCCAGCTAACTTCATGCCTAAGGCAAGACTAGAACTCATGGTCTCCAATTTCTAGCCTGGTGCCTTTAACCACTACGTCAAACTGCCTCTCTTAATATGAATACGTGATTTAATATTGCTATGGTTTTTACATATATTAATATTTAAATATATAATTTAGGTATACACCAGTTGGTTACATTATGTGAGTTTTGAATTCTGTCAGGTTGACCTTCTCATGATTAGATCCCTATTCATTTAGTTGGATTTTAATGAAATTCACTGCTACACATATACAAATTTTCCCATCTTGTGTTCTTCATCTTCTGAAGTACAAAATTCCATAAAGTTTCACAAAACCAGTGGTATGAGATTATTAAAGTTATCACTAAGGGCAAAATACAAGTGCTAAAAACTAGTGGGGGAAAAACTGCTGATGAGTCTAATCTGTACCGGTATTCTATTTTGTTTAGTGTGTTTGTCAGTTAAACCTTGCTGTTGGAACATACAATGCATGTTCTAACCCAACCCTGGCATTATTTTCTTCGAAGATCTCCTTTTCACTGTTTTTGTATATATTATTATAGGCAAACACAGTTTTATTGCATTGCTGTATACAATATTATTTCAAATTTATAGTGTAAATTTCACTTGTGGGACATTGCTCAGGGAAGTGCATACTACAAGGAAAATCAAATAGCAGTTTTCTGTTGACATTATAAACTAAGTTAAGGTGATAAAGGATTTGATTTGCTGCTAAAATTAGCTGGCCTCTATTTCCCCAAGAATTGATGGCAGGAACTTGTGATTGACAAGAACACTGATACACTTTTCTTTTGTACTTTTGCCAAGCCAAATGTTACCTGATCCTAAACTTGTGCCTTTTTCTTTTTCTCATTTTTTTTCTCCAAAAGATTCAAGACTTTACATTTCTCATTAAATTTCATCCCATTCATTTGGCCCACTGTTAAATCCTGTTTGTAATCTTTCAAATCTTTTAGCCACTGAATATTAGCCATTCAGCCTAGTTCTCTGTCATCTGAAAATCTGATAATCATCTCATCAAGCCCTTCATCCAGGTAATTCATTTAAATATTGAACAAATACATTGCTCAGGACAGAGTCCTGTGATATTCCATTCAGGTTTTTTTTTTCCCAAGCTGATATGGAGCCATTTATGAGTACTTTCTGGGGTAATTCAGCCATCTTTAAGTCTATCTAATAGTTGTGTCATCTAGATAGTATTTTGCCATCTAGGTAAAGGATATTATGAGAGATTTTCTCAGATGGTTTGCTGAAG